GACCTTAGATTGTACGCCCCTTGAGGGTTAGGGACTGATGTGAAATGTACAATATATATGTAAAGCCCTTCCACAATAAAGTGACCATAGGTGTATGAAGGTCTTCCTCCTTATTAAGGTGACTGGTATCAAACAGAAAAAAATGCGCACTCATCGACCGCACATTTTAAATGCGCCTGTGTACACTCTTATGCGAATGACCAGCCAGACATGCAGATCCTAAGGACACATGGACCATCCCTCTCAAATACTGACATCGGCCTTGGGTGCAGTGCTATACCTCCAGGTACAGAGAGCCCTTTCGTTCCAAAAGATAGGCAGGCAGGGGTCCCCCTCCTGGTTCCAGGTACCCCAGAAATGGTAGATGCAGATCTGAAACCCTCCAAAAAGAGGGTCAAAAAAGAGGGAATGCCAATAGTGTAGTAGGTTCAAGAACTTTATTGGATCAACAGTAAATTAAGCCAGGGTTGCATGTGCACACAGATACCATTAGCCGTCAAGCAGACTGGTAAATATGAAAATAAACATGTACTAACCTGGCAAGGATCAAAGACCACCGGACCTCCTCGTGGTCCCAGTGGTCAGGAAGTCACACTTGCTACTGGCTCCTCCTGAGGCCTTTCGTGCTACAGCACTTCATCAGAGGGTTGGATGCCATTAGCAGTGTGACAGAAAACTTCCCTATTTAAATGCGGTTCGCGCATGCACGAAAATCCCGCTCTGTCGCTCAGAATCTAAAAAATGGGACCGCGCATGCGCGAACGGCCGCCATTTTGCCTTGGATCGCGGCTGTGCAGAAACGAACTGCGCATGCGCCGCCCGATCGCCGTCATATTGTCATGGATCAACAGACAGTGAGCTGTAGAAAACGGCAGCAGCTGTCAGAGGGATGCATACAAAGCAACTGTCGGGAGAATATATATGTGGAGCACCCAAATAAGTGCAGGTTCCCCATGATTAGTGACAGAGAAGGGGTAAATGGCACCATCAAAGAACCCTGAGTCCTTTGATCTAAACATAGATCCTCCGGTCTGGATATATGCCATCCGCTCTAACCCTCCACCCCCAAATAGGTGGCCAAAATATAAGCCACTAATTATGTTGCAAGGGCCAGGTACCCCTTATTACACTGATGGCATCCATGGCCATAGGAGCTAAACCGGTAGGTACCATATGCATACATAGAAGCTATTATGTTATAAATGCAATATGTCCAAAAGCCCCAAAAAACAGGTATCTCAAGGGATATATAAAAAATATAAAATATAAATAAAAATATATAACATTATTCCATTGGTATCCATGGCATAGGAGCTAAAAATCGGTACCCATATGCATACATAGAAGCTATATGTTTTTTGCCAAATGGGCCACTATATGTCCAAAAGCCCAAAAAACAGGTATCTCAAGGGATATATAATAAAATTGTCCTGTGATAAAATATAAATAAAAAATATATAACATTATTCCATTGGTATCATAAATTATCCCAGCCATTTGGCAAGGATCCTGATGTCATAATGAGATTATATATACATCATAAGGATATTTAAAATCATAAGGGTATTAAAAATATAATTATAAATGTCCCCGCAAAGGCAGAAAAAAAGAGTAAACATTCGTATTTTGCCATCCTAATGGCTGAAATTGTGTCCATGAGGGTAAAGAGTACGTTGGGTCTATGAATTACGTACTCTTTACCCTCATGGGCAGACACAATGTTGAGGTGGATATAAAATGTTTCATTTCTAATAGCTGAGGCAATGATATATCCCCCCATTGCGTATACCACTTGTCCTGTGATAGGTGTAGTGCTGCATGTATTTTTTACAATTTTTTATACTTTTCCCATTTTATTTGTATTATCTGTTTGGGTCATGGGTTTTGATGTTTTGTGACAGGATGATTGTTCTTCCCAACACATTCCCTAAACCATTTCAGCCATTAGGATGGCAAAATACGAATGTTTACTCCATGGTTTTCTGCCTTTGCGGGGAAATTTATGTGCCATTATAGCTGACACTTTTAATACCCTTATGATTTTAAATATCCTTATGATGTATATATAATCTCATTATGACATCAGGATCCTTTGCCAAAGGGATAATTTCTTCTGATACCAATGGAATAATGTTCTATATTTCTATTTCTATTTTGATATTTTTGGCTCACTCCTTATATATCCCTTGAGATACACCCTCCCTGCACTGTTTTTGGGGCTTTTGGACATCTATATTTGTGGCCCATTTAACATATAGCTTCTATGTATGCATATTGGTGTACCGGTTTAGCACTCCTATGCCATGGATGCAATCAGTGTAATAAGGGGTACCTGGCCCTTTTGCAACATGCGCAGTTCGTTTCTGCACAGCCGCGATCCACGGCAAAATGGCGGCCGTTCGCGCATGCGCGGTCCCATTTTTTAGATTCTGAGCGATAGAGCGGGATTTTCGCACATGTGCGAACCGCATTTAAATAGGGAAGTTTTCTGTCACACTGCTAATGGCATCCAACCCTCTGATGAAGTGCTGTAGCACGAAAGGCCTCAGGAGGAGCCAGTAGCAAGTGTGACTTCCTGACCACTGGGACCACGAGGAGGTCCGGTGGTCTTTGATCCTTGCCAGGTTAGTACATGTTTATTTTCATATTTACCAGTCTGCTTGACGGTTAATGGTATCTGTGTGCACATGCAACCCTGGCTTAATTTACTGTTGATCCAATAAAGTTCTTGAACCTACTACACTATTGGCATTCCCTCTTTTTTGACCCTCTTTTTGGAGGGTTTCAGATCTGCATCTACCATTTCTGGGGTACCTGGAACCAGGAGAGGGACCCCTGCCTGCCTATCTTTTGGAACGAAAGGGCTCTCTGTACCTGGAGGTATAGCACTGCACCCAAGGCCGATGTCCGTATTTGAGAGGGATGGTCCATGTGTCCTTAGGATCTGCATGTCTGGCTGGTCATCCGCATAAGAGGCGCATTTAAAATGTGCAGTCGGTGAGTGCGCATTTTTTCTGTTTGATACCAGTCACCTTAATAAGGAGGAAGACCTTCATACACCTATGGTCATTTTATTGTGGAAGGACTTTATGAACTATTTTTATTTGTTTTTATTTGTACTTATTTTAATCATGTTCATTTTTAATTGATACACCAGCGCTGCACTATCTATTATTATTCTTGTTTAAAAGTCCAGTGATTCCTTAGAGTGTTCCAGCAGCTGAATTTTGAGCGCTCGCTTTATCTTTATGCCATATATGTAAAGCGCTGCATAAATTGATGACGCTATATAAGTCCCTGAAATAAATAAATAATAATGTCTAGCCTAGGATCCTTACTAAACATTTGCAGAGTTAATATAATAAGCCACGTAAAAAGTGTACCTACTTATTATTCAGCTAGAGCAGACTGAGTGACTTGTATTTGGGAGACAGGAAAAGTGAAGCACAATCATTGGGCAGTTCTTAATAAAAGAAAGCAATCCTGTATAGTTAATAAGCACGTTTGACTACTACATGCACACATACACATACTTGCCTAGGATTGGGCTTCATGGGCTCATTCACACCAGCTTTGGTCTTCAGAAAGCATTTAATAGGTGGTGATTTAGGTGCTTTATTGTCTCCTCACTGCCTGCTTTAAAGAACAAGTTCACCTTTCTCAACATGTTACACCCATATTCAGGGTGTAACATGCAACATGTTATAAAAGCACTGGCCCCCACTCCCTACCGATCCACTGCTTTGACAGCTAGCAGGGGATCTTCTCCCTCCCCCTGCTAGCTGTCAATTTTTTAAAAAACTTGGCTCCTGTGCTGAGCCGCGTCACACCTCTGTAAATAAAAAACTACAAGTCCTGACAGCCTTAGCGGCTGGTCCTCAATGAACTACCAAGACTCTGTAGAGTACCGTGGTACTTCATTGATTCTTCCTGTCAGTTTATCTGCTTGCCCATGCTTCCCGAATGGGCAAGCAGATATACTGACATATCTGCAGGAGATTTGCATGGTACTACTGATCGCTGGTGCAATGCTTTACAGGCTCCTGCAGCAAAATATAATAAATGCACATTTTTTTACCTGTAAAAAAAAAATGTGCATTTATTATTTTTTTACCAAAAGGTGAACTTATCCCTTAACCCCTTAATCCCCACACTAGTATGTCACATTCATGTGCATTGCACAAGGTTGTGCGGCAACTGGAGTGCAGCCCCATTCACTTGAATAGGTTATGTTTGAATGCCAAAAGCGACGGGGAATAATTCCTGCCTCTGCAGCTAAAGGGGGTAGCAGTTTGAGGACTGTGAAAGCACAAATCAACTGTGGGGTTTTACTGCCCCCGACCATTAGTGTGAGATAAGTTTCTGAACTATCAAGGAGTCCTAGCAAGTAGATTATCAAATATTCAGTACAATAGCCATGACTGTAAAATAAGTCATCGTGGATACAGAAATGTTTTTATTTTACTATACGTATGCACTACTTGAATTTTTTCCAGTGATTGAAAAGTATATATACATCAGCTGATCCTAGATGGGGTAGCAAACTGTAACGCCGGCCTCACCTTTGAGGCTTGTGATACAAACATTTCCTTTGTGATTTTATTTTATAAGCTGTATTTTTTGCTTATATCAAAGGAAGGGAAAGCAGGAAGCTCAATGTGCACACTTGACAAACCTCGCAAGACTGGTGTTCACAAGATGAAAACAATACAGGGCTCATTAGGGAACAACACTCAATTATATTCAAGACTTTGTAATTCATGTTTGCTAAAACACATAGCAAGATATGTGAAATTGTTATATTAAAGGCATTGTTTTCATTAGGTTTATATTTTGATGATGGCGTATAAAATATGTGAGACTAAAAGGTGAGCCTCTATGATTGAGAAATGCAGGAATAGGACATGGAAGAAGAAAGTGACTTATATATTTAAAGCATTTATATAGAGACACTATATAGAGACATGATAAACCTTGTTTTAACAAAATATCCATATTACCTTTTTTATTGTGATAACTCCGACTTGGTATGTAGCATCTGTTGTTACATTAAACATATCAGGTCCATCACCATCTATGATGGTGTACTTCATTTCTGCATTAATTCCTTCATCCTGGTCCATTGCTAGAACCCTTCCAACTGTAGAATTTATAGGCGCTGATTCTAAAACATTCATTTGGTAGTGTTCTGATAGAGATCAAACAAAAGGATATTAACACACACATGTAAGGTACATAATGGGGGAGATTTACTAAAACTGGAGCACTCAGAATCTGGTGCAGCTGTGCATGGTAGCCAGTCAGCTTCTAACTTCAGCTTGTTCAATTAAACTTTGACAATAAAACTTGGAAGCTGATTGGTTTCTATGCAGAAGTGCACCAGATTTTGCACTCTCCAGTGTTCGTAATTAACCCCCAATGAGTTTAAATGAAAAAAAATAGAAATAGTGTCTTCCAAAGAAATTGATCTTTGTTACACAATGTGGGGCCAATTAGAATTATTTACTAGGTAAAATATGTGGTGATGTTTAGAAAATGCAATCAATTTGTCAAATCCTAGTTCATATTTACACTGCAGTTGTGTCCTCCATGGTACTTTAAATGTAAACGAGACTCCTGTGTACTGTTTTTTTCTGTATCACAGGCAATCAGTTGGGATATGCCAAAAGACACAATTATACATATAGAAATCATGGTAGTTGCTTATGTGATTGCCTGGAACATCTAGACAAATCCCCATGTATCAAGGAGAGGGCTCATTTGAAGTAATTGCTACCTTCTTATGTTCAACATTAATACTAGTGACTTTGCTTGATCCACATTGTTATCCTCAGGATCATTATCCTCCAAGCGGATGGAGGAATCACCCTCCTAAATCCCACCACTGTCAAAATACACTGACTGAGAAAAATTTTCAAACACCGATCGAAATTTAGCCAATCCATAATTTTAATCAGGGCAAGGCCAGCTTTTGATTTCAGCACATCTGCACATCTGCAATAATGCTCAGAATTCAGACTAAGGAACTTTTCCAGCATTCTTTCAGACAGAAATAAATACAAAGCAAACTTCAGTCTCAACAAATAACTAAAAATGTAGTATATTGGACCAGTACCCTGTTATTGTGTAAGAAAACACCAATATGTTTTGCACATTACCATTTTGGGCATCATTTTGAACAAATTAAAATTTTGTGATATTTTGAGCATTTAGGTTGCAAACTATTTTTTCTGATTTGACAAATCTAATTGAAAAGCATATTTCATTGTAAGTACCAGTGAAAAAAAGAACTAGATCATTAATCTGTATTTATTACAGGGGATAGACCACTTGGGGCAATGGGAAACATGGTGATACAAAAAGAAAGGTCCGACCGCCTCACCTAAATATTAGTGGTGTCCTCAGGGCCTAATGAGGATATAATACAAAAAAGGTGTGGGAAGAACCTCGCAAAAAAGAAGTCCCAAATAAAGAGGCCAACTGCTGTTACAGACTATAAACGGAATATGCAAAAAGTGTAAAAATATGTAAAGACATACATGGCAAAAAAAAAACACCTTCAACTTACACAATAAAATGTTGACAACGTTGTCAAAGAAAAATAAGAACAGCCCGGGCTCACAGGCATGCACCTCACTCATCCGAACAATAAAGTACAAGTCTAATAAAGTAGGGTGCACATGACAATGGAAACAATTATGGTGTGCTACAATGGCAACAATGATTTGACAATATGGATCCTCTGATGGGCAATGGTATTGGGACCACTAAGTGATGGGAGGGAGTTCCATAAAACTACAGCAATAATAACCATGGGTAGCATGTAGCTTATGGATACAATGCACAGTGGACTCTAGCTGGATCACAGGGAATATGAGAGTATCAGCTGGTTGATCCACACTTGTGGTTTTGGATACTTCCAGCTTTGACCTAAATATTTTCCTGTCATTTTAAGGCTGAACTTGTATGTTTGTTTTATCGGAAAGTGCAATTAATAGTAATGGGACAGAAGAAGAACAGCAGTCAGAAATTCCCAGAGCAGGCTTTATCTTGGAGAAATAATTATCATCTAAAATATTTTAACTGATTGAAAGTTTGTCCAGCCTCTTAAGCCATGTAGTAGAATGCTGCTATTTTGTCTCTACAGTCCTCCACTCTACTGGTTAACCTATCAAAAGGAATGCTACAGAGGAAGCCTGTTGATTGGGCGTAACGCATATGGGGTGGGGCCACAATAGTGGCATCATACAGCGGCCACATTGAGGTTGGCAGAGCCTGTGGTGGGAGAGAAGCTACCTATTACATGCAACACGCTGTACATAGCACTGTGTGTGCACTTTTTGTGACTGTTGACTTTAAAGTTAATATAACAAAAATGTTCAATGTACAGGATTACTATAGGTCCCAATTTGTTTTGCCTAAGTGGATGTCTGCATTTGAGCAGAGTGGAGACTATAAGGAATAATCCTAGGAGCCATCTGGCCCATGAGGAGACAAAAGCACATTTTACATTGATTTATGATTGGGGTCAAATACTGAGGTGAGCATATCCTGTTCACTTGCATGATGAGCATGGATGATTTTTAAAGTAAAGACAGTGGAATAAAGGGATTTCATCAGTGTTGGTAGAACTACAAGATTTGTGGACTTTATTTTGGAATTTAAATCATTGCTTGAACTTTTTTGAACTTTTCGGATTTCACTTATATCTCTGTTGTTTAGCACAGTTTCGCTACATCGTAATACGTTTAAGGTATGTAGCAGAATGTCTTCTCCTTGATACAGATCTTTGTTCCTTCCTTGCAGGGAAGAGAGCTTTGAAGAGAGGAAGAAGGACTTTAGCCACACCCACTGGCACCAGGATTGAGGAAAAATTGTCCCCAGCATAAGAGAAATGATGGACATCTTGGTGAAGACCTGGAGAAACCAGGAGTTTGACTGCAGTCACAACTTCAGACTTTAACCCCACCCACCAGAGCTGGCTAGAGGAAGATTGCCTAGGTTTAGAACATTATGAATGTGACTTTGACATTTCAATGAAGTTCTTCCAAAAAAAGGTAAACCGTGCAGAGGCCAGCAGGTAAGCACATTACACACAGGCAAGCCCTATAGCTCACATGGTATATCCATAAATAATTTAATTTTGGTTCTTTGTTTGTTTTGCGTTTTCTATTTTCAATTATATTTACAGTTTATTACAACCCCTTTGTCTGTAGGGCTTATTGTTTATTTAGAATAAACCCCATTTTACACTATGGGTGTGTTAGTAAGCTTTGGTACAATTAGGGTGGGTCACCCTAATGGCCCTGATTAAAAGTTGACATATCCTGGAATGTTTGGCCTTGGTACAGATACATAAGATGACGCACAAAGGTCAAAATGGCAATTAAAGGTTAATCTCCCACATCTGTGGCTTTTTTGAATTGCAATTAGTGTCTGTGTATAAATAGTCAATGAGTTTGTTAGCTTTAACGTGGATGCACTGAGCAGGCTGGACACTGAGCCATGGGGAGCAGAAAAGAACTGTCAAAAGACCTGTGTAACAAGGTCATGGAACTTTATAAAGATGGAAAAGGATAAAAAAAATGTCCAAAGCTTGAATATGCTAGTCAGTAATGTTCAATCATTTACTAAGAAATTAACATTTTGGGAATCTCTTGCTACAATGCCATGGTCAGGTAGACCAAGAAAGATTGCAGCCACAACTGCCAGAAGAATTGTTTGGGATGCAAAGATAAACACACAGGTAACCTCAGGGAAATACAGGCTGTTCTGGAAAAAGGCAGCATGGTTGTTTCTAGGAGCACAATACAACGATACTTCAATAAAAATAAGCTGCATGGTCGGGTTGCTAGAAAGAAGTCATTACTGTGCCAACATCACAAAAATCCCAGTTACAATAAGTCAGACAACATCTTGACACACTTCACAGCTTCTGGCACACTGTAAGCTGGACTGATGAGACCAAAATAGAGCTTTATGGTCACAACCATAAGCACTATATTTGGTGAGGGGTCAACAAGTCCTTTAGCGACAAGAATACCATCCCCACTGTGAAGCATGGTGGGTGGTTCACTGATGTTTTGGAGGTGTGTGAGTTCTAAAGGCATGAGGAATCTTGTGAAAATTGATGACAAGATGAATGCAGCATTTTATCAGAAAATACTGGCAGACAATTTTCATTCTTCTGCATGAAAGTTGTGCATGGGATGCTCTTGGACATTCAAGCATGATAATGACCCTAAGCACAAGGCCAAGTTGACCATCCAGTGTTTACAGCAGAAATAGGTGAAGATTGAAGAATAGGAGAAAGACATGGCACCAGCAGGGATGGAGTGGACGTTTTGTATTTCAATGTTTTTATTAATTTATAAACAGTTTAAGACAGGAGCAACAAAACACGCCCACGCAGGGGCTATCAATTGCACATAAAAAAATAACAAAAATAGTGCTCTAACACCAACAGAGCAAAAGGTGCGCCCACGCAGGGGCTATCAATGGCACATAAATGACAAAAACATTAGTATAACACCAACAATAACTCAAACTAAAGGCAGCTATCCACCGCCACACCAAAACAAACAGAAAAAGAAAAGGAAAGAGGAGTACAAAAGGAAAAAGATAACAAGACCAAGAGCAGGGGTCCGAGAACGCCAATACCAAGCAACATCAGAAACCCAGACTAGCCAGGGGGGAGCGTAGGAAAGGCATATTGCAACCACAGCTCCCATATTTTCAAGAATATACGTTGGGAGTCGTTACAGATACTCGACATCTGTTCATTGAGCATCATAGTGGTCATACGGTCCTGCACCCCCTGAAGAGGGACAAACGGGCTCTTCCAGGCCTGAGCAATTGTTCTAATGGTTGACAAAAACAAATAGGAAGCCAAATTCTGCTGGGGAGCCAAGAGGCCTGGTATGGGGCAATGAAGAAAAGCATACCGAGCATCCCGGCGTATGGAGAGATGGAACAAGGTGAAAAGGAGGCTAAACACATGAGACCAAAAACAAAACAGTCTGGGGCATGACCACCAGATATGCAATACATCACCATGATGGCCACAACCCCGAAAGCATTCCAGTCCTCCAGATCCATGATTGCCCCCAGGTCGTGCTCCCACAGAACAACATATGAAAGAAAAGTATGTGTCGTGCGTGTGTTCAAAGCTGCATAAAGAAGGGAAATAAGGCCCGAAGCACCCGGACACTGTTGGCAAGGCAGTTCAAAGGCAGAGGTCTGGTACAGGAAAGCGGAAGTGCCCTGCAGTGAGGTCAGCCAATGCCGCAATTGAAGGTAATGAAAAAATTCCGCTGGAAGGACATCCCGTGACTCCCGAAGAGAATTCCAAGTTGGAAAGGACAGTTGGAAGTCAAAAAATGTCGCACTTGCTAAAAAAACCATTGGCCACCCACCAAGAAAATGCCCTTGGTTGATCTAAACCCGGTGGGAAGAGAGGGTTGTTAATAATTGGGAGGAAAGGTAAGAAAGGTAACATCAGGCCACTGGAGTAATGTACCGAGTCCCATACTTGTAAGCCATGGAGCAAAATCGGACTCAGTGCCATTGGGAGTAGGGCAGGGAGAAGCCATAGAAGTGTCGATGTCGCAATAAGGGCACAATTAGGTAGTTCCAGCAGGACCCAGAGAACGTCTGAGGAAGCGTGCAACATAGACAGTGGGGCAATCTGGCTCGCCTGATAATACTTAGTTACATTAGGCACCCCAAGACCACCCTGGAGTCTATGAACAAAAAGCTTATTTCTGGAGACTCTGGGGAGCTTATCGGCTCAGATAAAACGCATAATCTTCGCCTGAATCAAAGGAGTGGATGTTTGGACCTCGTAGTGCTGAAAAATAATACATTCAGGGGTAACTATATCATAACATGCTCTAAATGCTGTGCACATTGTGGCAAATACTGGCCACCTCCACCACACTTTGCTTTCATATTAAATTCTGCCGTTAGATTCATTATGCTCATTACATATGTACTTGTTATTTCAGGCTCATTCTTGTCATCTGCAAGCTGTTAGATTAAAGATGTTTAGTTCTTCCTAAACAAACACAAATTAAAATATTTTGGGAAAAAATGTAGCACAGAAAAAAAAGTTATTCTTCCACTACTCTTCTTGATGAAGTAGTTCTAGAACCTTAAACCAGTGAGTTAAAGTGGCACTAAAGACAAAAAACAACAATTTAATATATTGCAGTTTAACAATCCTTAATTGCAGAGGCTTCATTAATTTTCTTTTTTTTAGGCTTTTTGTTTCCTTTATTTTTTACCTGGTGAGTTGGCTAGTAACACATTTCCTATCTTAGAGTATCTCCATTCTGAATGAAGGAGCAACAGAGACACCTTTGGGCAGTGTCATTGTCAATTTATTTATAATGTACAGCGCTGAGCAAACTGTTGGCGCTATATAAATACTGTATAATAATAATAAAATAACACAAATAATTTGGGAAGAGGATAGTGTAAGGGTCCATGCACACTGGCTTAAACAAAAGTCGCTCCTAGAGTAGTTTAGTGTTTTGCTTGTAGAAGCAACTAATGTTATTCATGTGTCCAAGCACATTAGGTCATTTAATGGCATATAGCAAGCTCCGCTCTTGGAGGCAGAAAAAAAAACCTTCTGTTTTGTGTTTTTTGAGAGTGGTTTTATGACAGAAAAAATCTAAATAACTGTAAACGCTAGTTAAAAAAAGCTCAAATACAGTGTTTGTTTCTGCCAAGAAACCTGGCAAATCTTTTTAAGCTAGTGTACATGGACCCTTAGACTAGCAGATTTAGGTGGACTTGACGAACAAATTAAGGCTGAACTCCAGCTAACACTTTATATACAATGACAGCAACAGTTGTTTTTCTCCTTAGGGATAAAGGTTTTACATAAATGAAAAAAAACTGCCCATTGTAAGCACCCTTGCCAGTGTCAAATGGTTTGTCTCAACCATCTAACTGACAATTTTGCTGCAAAGGTGTTAAAGGAATGAACATTAGAGACTTATGCAGGCCATAGATGGGTCGAAAATCAGCTGTTTTTTCGGCCGAAAAAAAAATTGGCCGATTTTCGCACCATTAATGGGTTAATTGGTCGGCCGTTTTTTCTGGATTTTGGCACATTTTTTTAATCGGTAAAGTTGGAAAAAAATCAGCCGATCTTTGTGCCGATCGGCCAATTTTCACGGCAATGATGGGCAAATCGGCCGACCTTTTTACCGATAAAAAAATCTGAGCATGAGCCATGACCTGCAAGAAAAAGAAGAAGTAGAAGGAGAAAAAGAAGGATTCCAGTCTGCTATTATATTTGACATTAAAAAGTATAGCGGTTGCAACAATGTATCTATTTGTATCCGAATAAAACCATCTGTATCCGAAATGGATACAAATAGATACAATGTTCCAACCGCTATACTTTTTAATGTCAAATATAATAGTGGAGCTCTCTGCAGGGACAGAAGTAATTAAATGCCGGCCGTAGACGGGATGGAAATCGGCCGATTTTTTTTTTTTTTTACTGTTGGTGGTAACGTCGGCCTATTAAACAACCGATTTTCTTCTTTTTTTAAAAAAAAAAAAGGCCGCTTTTTTCTACCCGTCTATGGCCTGCATTACTGGCCAGATCATCAGGGGAAAATAAATAAAAAGCCTTAAAAAAAAGAGAAAACAAATACATCCGTCCCATCTAATGATTGGAAAGCTGCAATATAATAAATATTTGTTTTAGGGTTTAATACTGCTTTAAATGGATGTTTGCAGTACACAGAACTTTCATGATGATAATGATGATGCACTCGCTTACTTTGAGGAAATCTTGGAGGATTGTCATTTACATCACTGAGAGTGATATTAACAGTGGATGTTCCAGCTAATCCTCCCTGCTGTCCACCCATATCTTTGGCCTGGATAATGACTTCGTAATATTCTCTTGCTTCTCGATCCATGTTTGTTAACGCCGTTCTGATTATGCCTGTAGGAGAGAAACAAAGTCACAACTTGCCTGCATAATGACATAAGGAAAATCTCATTTAACTTTTAAATTAAAGAGTGTATTTTGGAAGGGGGGAAGAAGAGAAGGAGGCAGAAGTTGGCGAAACTGCAAGAAATATCCTGCAGAAATGCTCTTGATATCTTTCCATATGGCATTAAGCATGCCATTTAGCGAGCCAGATGTAATTGGCCAGATGCTAAATCTACACTATCAATATAATTCCTGCACTATGTTCAATTAAGAAGCTCAAAGCACTGTATATTTAAGTATACTGCAATACATTCATATGGACATTTCACATCATAAGCTGAAAAATATCTATCAGTTGAGAAACTGCATGCTCTGCACAAATTAGTGCAACTTTCACAAATAAATTCTACTTCATTTTATTGTAAATGTTTTTTTTTTTTTTCATGCACATTCAATGGAGCAGAATTACCAAGTGCTGTCAAAAGATGGCAGCAGTGCTTCTTGTAAGATTTCCTTTTCTTTCTATCATTAGCACAGACTAACTTGAGTTTCTCGATATGCACTGAAACTGCAGAGAAATATTTGCTCTTCCTGAGAAGACTATCATGAGCCTGACCTCTTCATAGGATATTTCCCCAAAGATCAGGATTTTTTGGAACGTCTACTTTCGTTTTGTACAAGCACATGAAACTAGTTTCTGCACTGACATCCTAGGCTGTGGAGAATTTCAATTACATTTCATCATGATGTGATAAGAGCAGAATGTCTGAGTGGTGAAGTGCATTTGTCTGTAAAATGGGAATGCTTAAAGGACAAAAGCTAATAATAAATAGGCAGCATGATTGTATGAATGCACTGAAGAATATAATCAAAGCAATGATATTAGTCCATCAAAGATATGCTAAAGAAAAACTCCAATAAAAATGTTTTTTATTTGGATTTAAACTTGTGAGTTTTTGTCCTGGTATGTTTTTCATTGAAATTAATGGAAATGCATCAAAACACTCCTTGCAATGCACCTTACATATATTAATTTATTCTTTAAAGTCTAGCTGCTTGCCATCCAGAGGATTTACCCCCCTCCCTGACCAGGCCAAAATATGGCTACATGTCTTTGCAAAAAAAAAAAAAAATCCAAATACATGTAAAGTAATTGGTTTACACGAAAGTTATAGCGTCTACAAATGGCAGTATATATACTGGAATTTTAATTTATTTATTGTATTAATAATAGTGATGGCGGCGATCAGCGACTTATAGCGAGACTGCGGAACTGCGGGCATCTGGACACTGGTTAAAAACTGACTAACTGCCACTGACATCCCAGTCACACCAATACAGTGATCAATGCAAATAAAAAGCACTGACACTGTACTAATGGCACTGGGCAGGAAGGGGTTAACATCTGGGGCGATCAAAGTGTTAACTGTGTGCTGTTTTACATGATGTGCTGTATGTGTTTTACTAGGGAAACATGCTGCTTTGTATTTGTATGAGAAATACAAAGCAGCATGTCCTTGCTGGCAGGAGAGAGACCTGTGTTGTTTACACACAGATCTCTCCCCTGTCAGCTTTGCCCAATGACCAACGGGTGCCGGTGGGGAATCTTCGGCCAGGACCCGGTGATTGACTTGCCAATGGCGGCATGGGTAGGGTGGCACACACGCCTCCTACCCGGAAAAGCAAATCACATATATACATGATTTTGCGCAGCCCTGCCATCCTGTAGCAGTAGTTCTACTATAGGGTGGTGAGAAAGCAGTTAAAGTGGTTGTAAACTCTTACCAATACTCAGTGAAGAGACTGATCTTAGGTGATACATGGAGGTGAAGCAAAGCCTCCAGTTGTATCTGCTTATTTGCAGAAATTTGTCCTGTACATCCATGTAAAAATTCAGATGAAAAGTATTTTTCACATACTCACTACGCAGGGGACGAGGAGATACAGTTATACACTGTACAAGAGTTCTGAGAGCTGATTGGAGGAAAGGGACACATCCCCCCCCTACACACAGGAACAGAACAGAGGTTTTCAATCACAGGCTGTGTGCTGGAGCTACTTCCCCAGTCATCATTTTAGCTCTTGGTGTCAGGAAAACTTGCGCACTTTCACACTCCTCTGATCCTCTGCTGGCATTTTATAGAAAGGCCTTGTATTCCTGGGTATGTTGGAAGAAGTGACACACATACCCACAATTCATAAATCAGTGCCAATTGTCAGTCCTCCTGAATGTGGGGGTGAGGAACAGTGAACTTAATCCTTCATACTTATGTCAAAAAGGAATTCAAGGGCATGGCATGGCTTGGGGCAGCAGGGGAATACTTTAGAGTTAAGATCAAGTAAATTGTGGAGCTGCAATCTGACCATTAAGGATGTTAAGGAATTATTTGTATGGTTCTGCCTGCTATCTTCAAATGGGAAAAAAATTGGTCTTTGAATTGCTGAATAAAAATATGACACAAAAATCTCTTTTAGGCTCCAGGCACACTAGCTAGATAAAAATGGGGTGAAATAGCCTGGAAATAGTGGTTTTATGTCGGCTTGTAGTAGCATCTAGAAGCGATAACATTTCATTAGTGTCTTTACAGTACATGAAGAAAAAGAAAGGCTTGAAAAAAGCTGTTAGGAGCATTTTAGTAGTGTTCAGAAGTTTTTAGGAGCATTCAGCATTTTTTTCTGCCAGGAAAACGATCCCAAGAACTTTTTTCCTGCTTCTAGCCTGAAGCTTTAAAATGCTTATAGCATAAAATAGTGTGCATGGAACACATAGGATAATACTATTTTCTTCTTGGAGCAGAAAAAAAAATGTCATAATAGCTTCTAGGTGCTAAAGGATGGTAGTGTGCATAGAGCCTTAAGGAGTATTTATAGCCAAATGTCTTCTTAGTTTTGTATAGAGTAGGGGACCACTAAAAACCCCACTAGGTTCTTTTATTGTTGTCTGTACACTATTGGGGAAAATCCCCTTAACTTCCTGTGCAAGAAAACACAACAGGAAGTTAGAGTAAATTTCCCAAACATGAGAGGGGAAATGCCTCCTAAGACAGTTGTTACCATAACAGATGTCTCCATTGTAGGATTTCTTACTTTATGTTCTGGGGGCAGCTTCAAAATGTTGGATTTCCTCTCACTTTCTCTTTGCTAACAATGGTACAACCATAAGCACAGGTAGCAATAAATCCTTCCCCACTCCATCCAAATCTAAAAAAAATGGTTTTGACTAGAGATACACTTTAACTCAATGCTTTACTTTGGATTGTTTCAGTGAAGGGCAATTTGGTCACTTTGGCCCAGTTACCTATGAGCTGACTGTAAAACAGCATTCTAATAGCAATACTTCCTATTGAATGAATGAAATGATCTCCTAAACCCCAAATCACAGGATCCAGTAAATTATGCAAATTTTCTAAATCAAAAAACTCCTTAAGATGGAAAACTTTGGGGTAAGCTGATTATTATTACAGAATTAAAGCAGCACTTTAGGCAATTAACAGACAATCCAGACTACCACTATACTATTCTGCATTGTGTTAAAGCTGCTACATTAGCATCAGGATTTGCTGGTAAATTAGCTTCACGTGCTGGTATTTCAGGTAGTAGTAGTGTTCTTCTGTGTGAACTGTACTGTTATAATTATAATTAGTTAATGGACTGTGAAACTTAATCAAATGGATTCCTCAAGTTTGTAGTTACATAGTTACATAGTTAGTCTGGCTGAAAAAACACAAACGTCCATCCAGTTCAACCATACAAAAAAAAGTTATAATCCTATACCCACAGTTGATCCAGAGGAAGGCAAAAAACCCAGCAAAGCATGAACCAATTTGCTCCTGTAGGGGAAAAAATTCCTTCCTGATCCCCCAAGAGGCAATCAGATATTCCCTGGATCAACTTTACCTATAAATGTTAGTAACCAGTTATATTCTGTCTGGTCCAAATCTTCATTTAGATGGTAAGGTTTTGAATCACATTTTGTTTGCACAAGTAAAATGAACAAAGGGATAACATAGGCAACATGTTATATACAAGATTTTACTTCTGAAAACTAAGCTGAATTGACAATGAAAGAAGTAGTTTAGGTGGTAGTACCAAGACCTGTATTGGATTGTAGAAGCTCAAACAAGGTGTAAGGGTTGGTTCTTTGTTAGGATCAGATGACCACTGGTGCAATCAGCTTGCCCTTTAGCAACGATCCATGCAATTTTTATGCATACACTGGTACTTAAGTGCCACCAGAACCCAAAATGTTGGATTACCTGAATGGAAAGAATCCATTTCCAAGCAGCACTGAGATAAGAAAAGGTGGCAAAGTTGAAAAGAGTTGCCTAAGACTGTTGCCATAGGTAACCAAAGCCAAGCATCAAAACTTGAGCATTTCTAGTCAGGGACACAACAAAGGTCAAGGGAGATGATGTACTATTGAGCACAGGACAAGTAAGACCATGGGAGTTTAGCAGGTCAGAGATTAGATGTAAGCATGTTCATGGGGATCAGGTGAAGAAAATGAACAGGGCCTAAGTAGACTGGTAAAAGACATCAACAGGGAGTCAGAGAGATGTTATATTATAGGAACAGAAAACCAGAAACACTGAGAACAGATTTATGTGAAACAGCAACAGGAAACAAGTACGAAATCACACAGAGGTACCCCCCCCAGTGCCCTTTTTAGGGAGTATGTACCAATGAGAAGGTATACATGTGACCATGTCTTCGATTTCCATAGCTCACAGAATTTCTTGTACAAATGGGCTGCAGTTTGTTAAAGAAATGTATTTACAGCTGGCTTTTATAAAACGTGCAGTTTTCAGCAACCATCAGGCAGCTTTCCTAAAGCCTTTATAGAACCTTTCAACTTCATTTTAAGGAAGTTTAAGATCATGAAGGGAGTACTGGCTTTCACTTATATTAATGTACCAGCAGTAAGCATTCAGCAAGTATTAGGCAAAACAGAAGCTTTCTGAATGCTTGCTAGCTAGTTTGTTTAAAGTAGCAGTCAGTGCTCACATTAT